TTATTAAATATCCTATATAAGAAACTTGATAATAATAATTAAAATTTCAGTACAGTATTTTTAAAAAAATAATAAATAAAGTAGGGGTATAGCTAAAAAATAAATATAAAAATTGTTATTTTTAAAAAATATTTTATTAAAAAAATCAATCAAAAATTGTTGAAGAAAATTTATATCAGTTAATGACTATTTATTGTTAAAACTAGAATGAACATTTGTCGATTCAGATCTTTTAATAATAATTATTTATTTAAATTTTAACAGTAACTTATTTTAAATTAATAATAATTCATTCAAATATTTTTTATTTAAATTTTAATAATAATTAATTTTTAATTGATATAAATTTTTTTTCAACGCTCCTTCATCATTATTCTTTTTATTTTATATTATTATCCGCCAAGAGCTTAGTACAAAGAAAAAGGGGCAAAACAATCTAGGTGGAGCGAGATTGATGAAAGTTATCTGCACATTACACGCTGTTCTTGAGTTTCACGTGGCTGATCTTGTACCTTTCAAAACGATGGGAAGGAAACTAAAACGATTGGCTTCCACGTCAACTCACGCAGCCGCTTGCTTTCACCACTAGCTAGATATATGGCCCTTTACAAGTTTGCGCGTGCGTGCCTCTATTTCCTCCGTACTTCCTTCGATTTTATTTATAAATTATATTTTAAAAAATTTATTTAATTTTATTTATAAATTAAAATATATTTTTTTAGATAATATTTAAAAATATTTTTAAAATTACTCTTCATACAAGAAAAAAAGTAATATGACATTATTTTTTAAATTTATTATATAAAAACATATTTAAAATTCTATACATTTTTATTCTTTGTACTTTTTTTATATTGATATCAATGAAATTGATAAAAATAATTTATAAAGAGAGCCAGAGGAATATATAATATATACTTTCCAAACTATAATATAAAGTATTGTCTCAAAATTTTATCTTATTTAAAATATAAGGCATTTAATTATTTTTATATTTATTTTTTAATTAGACATTTTATTTTACTTACTATTTTTTAAAAAAATCACACATTAGAATTTTAATTAATATTAGAAATGCTCATATGCTTTGTGAGTTGGAGTATCTTATGATATATCCAAATTGAATATCATATTCCATCATATCATGGTCTATTTGAATGACCAAAATGCCTCTATCAATTTTAATAAGATCATTGATAACATATATGTTTTGTGAGTTGGAGTATCTTACGATATGTCCAAATTGAATATCATATTCCATCATATTATGGTCTACTTTAATTAGATTCAATAAATTTCAAAGTAGTCCTTCATATGACCTAAAGTTGACTTAATATTCAAATATTATATTGATTAGAATTTTTAATTAATTAATACTAGTTCACAAATATTCCAACAACAATCCACTAAGAAATTAAATTTCTGAAGATGCCAACTAAGGTTATGGTGTCAAATTCGAATTATTCAGAATGTGACCAGAAAGCGGAATAATATGCAAGTGTTGTCTATTTATGATTTATAATTAACTTGCGGTGAAGGAAAACGAACCTCATAAAACAGCTGATTAGGGTTGTCATTGTTCCAAACGGTACCCCCCACACCTAGATTATCCTTTTTTTATGCGTATGCGTATTTGTTATCTTAGGCAGACCATCTTTTAGGTACAACAATGGCCCAGGCTAATTCGGATTCGCCCATAGTTAGGCATTCGAAAGGTGGAAGAATTGGCCAGAGGACATTTTTCCATACCCAAGCAGGGATCGAACCCGTGACACTTGGTTAAGGGAGGATGAGCCCTTATTGCTCAACCACATGCTCTTGATTTAAATTATTATTTTTTCAAACAACTCGAGGAAATTATGAACTGTGGGCTAAACATAAAAAAAAAAATAAATTAAGAATGATTGATCATAACTTTAATTTGCTTTTTTTTTTAATTTAATTTTTACTTTTATTTTATATTAGAATAAGGAAAAATTACAAATAAGGACCTCCAAATGTCACAAATAACCAATCAAGACCATTAAATTATAAAATTACATTTTAGGATTATGGTTTTTTTTAGTTTAAAAATAATGGTTTGACTAAAATACCCCTGTCCAAGGATCATGTTTGCAAGTTTGGGAGTAAATTTTTTTTTCAATTCAAATAAAGTGGTTTTACAACCCCTTTAACTAAATTTCTAACCTAATTAAATTGATTTTTAGTATTAGTGAATTTTAAATTGGCCAATTGCAATTAGCCTGAGAATAAAGGTGTTTATAATTCAAATAAAATGATTTCATAACCTCTTTTAAATAAATTTGCAAACTTAATTAAACTTAATTAGGCTGGCCAATTGCAAGTATGGGAGTAAAAATATTTCCAACTCAAATAAAATGATTTCATGAACATCTTTAAATAAATTTCCAACCTAACTAAAGTAATTTCGATATTAGTGAATTTTAAGTTGACCTTTTAAACATGAGCATTTGATTTTTAAACTGCAAAAAAAAAATCATTGTCTTAAAATGTAATATCATAATTTAATGGTCCTAATTCGTTGTTTGCAATATTCAAATTCGATATTCAAAGGTCCCTATTTATGATTTTCCCCCCTTAGAGTAATCTCTTTCTGTTATTTTTCTCCAATTTGTGTTGGTTAGTTTTGCTATATTTTACTCTTCTAGCATAAAAATTAGTTTAATTATTTTCTCTTTATCACAAATTAGTGCATATAGTATAGGTTTTTGGGGTACAAATTATTTTCTCCTGACCAATGTTTTGAGAACCAGATTGACCTAGATAGTTGGACTGGTTCACCTATCAATTAAACATGAAAGTAATTCATTTCAGCTTATTGGACTGTTTAAAGGTTAGTCCACTTGGGACTAGGCGGTTTTAAGGGAACTAGAATTAGATTAGAATTTAGAATGAGTGAATAACTTTTAATTTTTAATATGCACATATATATAATAAAATGATGAATAAAATATTGTATTTAAGTTTTTAAAATTTACAAATTAAATATAACGTGTTTTTATTTAAAATTTATGTACCATGATTAACACAATAAAAAATTATTTTTAAAAATACTAATTTTATAATAATATTTTTGTTTAAATATGTATGGATTTAACAAATTTTGGAATAAAAGAGGCATGGAGGAAATACATTTTAGAGTCACATATATTTTTAAATTTATAATATAGACAAACGTAATCAATTTTAAAATAAAAAACATGCTATTTTAGTTTCTAATACGGACAAATTTAATAAATTATATAAAACAGAATAGGCTGCTATTTAGATTTTGTGATATCATTTTAGCAAATTTTCAAAAGTTACATGCTTTTTACATTAACTATTAATTTTAAATTCACTAGATATTTTTAATTTAAATTGATATAAATAATTTATTAACTAGAATAAATGGTTGTTTGCTTTCAAATTTAACCCAATAACAAATTCTAATATAAAACAGGTTATTATTTATATTTTTAATTTAATATAAATAATTTTTTTATTTTGTGATCTTTTTATCTTCTAATCATCATAAACAAACATATGCGAAATAAAAATATTTACTTTTAATTGTTATAATTATTTATTTGTAATTACTTATACAATTTTATTTCACATTCTATATACTATGACTTTTTGTAAAATTATCAATTAATATCTATTAAATATTTAACTTTTTTTATGTTGACTGTCAATTTGGATTAAGGATAATGAAGGGAAGGCAGGAGGATTTTTAAAAATCCGGTCTTTAAAAAAAAAGAAAAGAAAAGAAAAGTAAGTTTAAAAGTTTTTAATTAATTTTATTTTCTATTTTATTCATAACATCTTCTCTTTATTAAAATATTATTCTAATTCTTTATTTTTTTTTCAAATTTAATTCATTAAAATCTTTTATCTTTCTTCCATTCCCTGAATAAATATAAAATTAAAATTTCTCATGCATTGAACGGAGTCTAAAATCTAGTTTCTTTTGAAAATATAAATATTAATAAATTAGTATATAATATTGTTAAATTTTTTAAACTTTATTTAATAAATAAAATATATTATTTAATATATATATATACTTGATTAATTATAAAAATTGAAATTATACAATATTATTATAATTTGTTCACACCCCGGGCGCACCGACCCAGCGTCGTCCCAGATACCATAAGTGTTGGGTATACTTGGCTGCAATCTATTAATTGAAAATTATATACCAGATATGTGATTTAAAGGCATATTGGGTATATGTGGATGGCAGCAAATTTCTCTTAGATAATAAATACTATAACGGTAAAATTAAATTTGACAAGTTATTCCTCCTAATCTACTGCTCTGATCCTACAATATGTTTCATCAAAAATAAAAAAATTATTAATTATATTTAAAAATTTAATAATTTTTTATGTGTCTCTATTAAATATATATATTTTAACAATATATTTTATTTTATCAATATTCAGTAAAAATTTTATGAAAAATTTATAATAAAAATTTGATGAAATAACTTATAAATAAGATAAAAAATTTTTTTCCTTCTATTCTATAAATAAAATCAGAAAAAATATAGTAAAGACCAAAAGTATTTATTTGGAAGGCACACCATACAATGGTGCCATGTGGGAAGCACAATAAAGTATGGTGTAACTTAATCAAATTTCAGAATCATTAATCATTAACCATGCTAACTTTATTTGACAAAAAAACTGCGCTAATTTTTTTAATTTTCTTAATGGAATTTTTAAATTTTTTTTCGAGAAGAGAAAAGGTACGACATTCCACTTTTTCATTATTTTTTTCTTGAATTTTTCTAATATTTAAATCTTAACTGAGCCAGAAGAACCAAACCAACGCGACAACCGACAAATTGCGTCATCATATCCGTAAAACGCATGCTTAGTCGGAACTCACTCACTTTGAGGTTCTCCCATCTTGCCACGTGGCTCTCAAGTCCCGGACGACACCGTTTGGGCCAAATCATTTCTACATTATGAGAATCGTTGCTTTTGCGAGTTGTGGTAGTGTTGTGCATCTACCATCTTCTTCCTCCCTGAATACTCCTTGCTCCGCGTTTTCCTTCCCCCGTTTTGGTGTTCACATTAACGATTCTTCGTTCGTCAACCCTTGAAGAAGTGCTTTTCGGCCGGTGATTGCGAGGGTTCGAGTTTTTCTTCCACCGGTCAGTTAGGGCTTTGCCTTTCCCGATGACTTATGATGATCATGATGGTGGCCCAGGAGACCTCGTCCCGCACCTCACTCTCCGAATCCAGAATGATGATAACAACGGGGGCTATGTCAAATTGAGGCCCGAACCGCAAGATTCTGAGCCAGAGGACTCGTTGAGTGAGGCGGCGGGATGTTCTCTACGGTATTGGGTTAAATTGGCTCTGTTCCTTGCATTCTTTGGCTTCTTGGCTGCTGTTGTTATCATATGGATCGGACCCTTTTTCATGGATAAGGTTTGCCATCACGCACTTGCTCACCATCGAGTTCTATTATCTATCTTCCTTGGGCTATCCTTGAATTTGCATATTTAGGGACTTGCTTTCTTCTCAAAGGTTTTGAGGCGGTTGGGTAGTTTGGCCACCTTGTCAATGCTGTTTACGATTCTTCCTTCTTCACCATGGAGGATTTTCTTTTTAATGTTGCTAACCCATGCGTCTTATCTTTTGTTGACTCTAGTGGCCAAGAAAAAAAAAAAAAATCTCGACTGTAAACATGAAATGTGTAAACTTAAGGTGAAATCTGTTTCAAATATGATTTCTTGCGGCAAGAAATTTCACCACTGGGACAGCTTATTGTATTTTTGTGTCATTGTTTTGGGCCTCAGTTGTAAATTTGAACTTTGAATGTGCAACCTGATTAGTAACGCGACCTTTGTTTCAGGTGATTATCCCAATAATTAATTGGGAGAGAAACACATTCAGCACGCCGGTTTTAATCGTTCTGATATTTGTGTCTGTAGCATTATTTCCAACGCTGCTTTTACCATCTTCACCTTCTATTTGGGTGGCTGGAATGAAATTTGGTTATGGTTTTGGGTTCTTGCTAATAATATCTGCAGCATCTATCGGTGTGTCACTCCCTTTTTTCATCGGCTCTATTTTCCATCATAAAATTCAAGTATGTGCCTTGTTTTTATTTAAGCCACTTTTAGTTTCTAAAACACTGTCTACATGTGTTTTCCTCACCTGTCCTAACTAGGATCCCGCATTTCATGATTCTATGCAGGGGTGGTTGGAAAAGTACCCAAAGAAAGCTTCTTTTCTAAGATCTGCAGGTGGAGGAAATTGGTTTCATCAATTTAGGGCAGTTGCTTTGATCAGGGTTTCTCCATTCCCTTACATACTCTACAATTACTGTGCTGTGGCAACAAATGTCAAGTATGGACCTTATATAATGGGATCCTTGGTGGGAATCGTACCAGAAATATTTGTTGCAATCTATACGTAAACTTTCTCTATCACTCTATATCTACCTACCTACCTACCTATCTATCCCTATCTGTCTGTTTGTCAGTTTGTAGCGCGTACAATATTTGTGCTATGAGTTTGTTTGTGTTTTATCCTGTTAGTTCGTAATAAAGAAGAAAATGTTGAATGTCTACTAATTGCATTTGAAAGTTGTCATGTGCATAAAAGTATAGGGTTACTCTTTTTGTACAATTTTGCATGTTCATCCTTTACTGTGAAGTTGTATTGTGTCATTAGCTTGTCTGTTTGGCTTTGGCATGAATGTGTTTTTCCCTTATGTGAGTATACTTGTCTACGTTATGCTTTTATATACTATTAGCATTTTAAGTGCTTTAATAAACTATTATGGCTCTCAATCTGGCTAACTGCCCATCATGCTTTTCTCTGTTTTCGTGGTTTGCCTTCTTGAATTATGTTGTTTTCATGATCAGTACTACAATGAAGACTGGCTACTTATGAAATATATCTTGAAATGATTTATGGATATCTGAAACTAAAATGACAGTGAAAGTGAGATTGTCCTTCACTTTGGTTGTAGTGTCATATGTCAGGTGGCAGGTTGCTCTCACCTCTGACTTTATGTTTCCTTACTGGTTGCTTAGTGTCTTATGCTTGCTTTAGAAATTTCATATGCTTTTCTTTGAAGCAATTGATCTTAGTATGTAAACATCTTCATCTCATGTCCTTAGTTTTTATTGCTTCTTGAATTTGACCATCGGAAATATACTTGGTAGGTGAATTGGTTATTTTTCCTATGAAGAAAATGTATATTTTGTTTAGAGCAGGTGGTGTTCATAATTGTTTCTATTCTGATTTAGATCATAATTATCAAGATGATGACTTGGGTCTTGCCACCTACTTTATGTTCTTCTGGTGCTCATCCTTTTTCTGTGCTAAACATGTTGATTGAGAATTAAGAAATACCCCCTTTGCTGTCCATTATCTTGGGATTCATCCTCATCAGCCCCAAATAGTTAAGCTCTTATGTCTTTTTGTTTTGGGAAGGGATTGTTACTTGGTAACCGATACCTTCTGTTAATTCAATGATGGACTTCTTTCCTCTTCTCTTGCCTTCTCCAAAACTTTATTGATAACTCATCTTGATCAGCAATGCCATCTTCACTGTCAATTCTATGATTAGTTCTAGTTGCATCTCTCTCCACTCACCAATATTTACCTATGATTTTGAAGGTGCTTGCCTCAGCACCTAATGGACTCTTCATGGCTAGCCTCTCTCACACCATGAGAGGCACTACATTCCGTCAGATGTTGTAAGACCAGTGTTGAGTGCCTTCAGAACCTTCTCCATTGTTCCACAAATGCGCATCTGGGTTTGTAAGCAACAGGAGAAGAGTCAGCTATGAACCTAGCCCAAAAATAAGATATGAAATGACATTGAGATGCGATAGGAAGATACCAAACCCCAACCTTAGAAGCTTAGCCCGGCCAAAATAGTCACTCATATTTCCGCTGATTATTTGTGTTATTTTTCAAAATTTATCCACATGTTTTTCCAAATTTACATGCATCTATTTTTGGTTTATATATCATTCCCCACCCCAACTTCGCCTTTATTTATAGTCGATCCTAAGTTCGGGTAAAGGAGGAGGGTTGTGTTAGGCTATCAACAGCCAACGTAAAATTTTGTTGAATCTATCATGGACATCGACAATAGACGTTATAATGTTAATGCTAGGTCGTTGCTCGTAAGTAACGCGTTGCATGGCTCGAGTACAATAACAAGTGAATTAGAGCCGCTGCATCGGTGCCCGGATTTAGTATTAAATGAGCAAGGGTTATCGCGTCACTCTGGATTGCGACTAAAGAAGTTAGTCCATGAGAACAAGATTAGATTTGGTATTTGGAATGTTGGGACATTGAATTGTAAGTCTGTAGAGGTTGTAGGGGTTATGATTCAAAGAAAAATTAATATCCTATGCCTGCAAGAAACAAAATGGTGTGGAAAAAAAGTTGAGGATATTCAAGGTTTCAAACTTTGGTGTACAGGAAAAGTAAGCATACGTAATGGAGTAGGCATCATTATTGATAAGGAGTGGAAGAAGAACATTGTAGAAGTTAATAGAATTGGAGACAAAATTATTTCCTTAAAAATGATAGTTGGACGTGAGATTGCTAATATTGTTAGCACTTATGCGCCTCAAGTTGGGACAGAAGCCAGTCTTAAGGAATTTTTTTGGGAGGACTTGGAGGGGTTGATTCAACACATACCACTAAGTGAAAAGATTTTTATTGGAGGAGACTTTAATGGGCATGTAGGGAGGGAGGCTGGTCAGTATGCGAGGGTGCATGGTGGTTTTGGTTTTGGAGAGTTAAACAATGAAGGACAAACTCTTCTTGATTTCTCGTATGTGTATGATTTTAAAATTGCCAACATTTGTTTCAAGAGATGAGCATCTCATCACTTACAAAAGTGGAGCCTCAAGGTCACAAATTGATTTTCTTTTGGTTAGGAACACGGAGAGAAGACTTTGTAAAAATTGCAAGGTGATTCCTGGGGGTGCTGTAACGACACAACATAAGGTCCTTGTCCTTGATGTGTGTATTATGAGTAAAATTTAAAAATATCGACAAGGAGTAACACCGAGGATTAGGTGGTAGCAATTAAAAGGTGAGAAGCAAGATATTTTTAAGCGGAATCTTTTAGACAAAGGAATTTGGGAATTTTAGGGAAGTGCTTACATCTTGTTGGAGGATATGGCTAAAAGATAAAGGAGGTTGCAAAAGTAGTTTTGGGAGAATCAAAAGGTGTTGGTCTGAGAGATCAGGAGTCTTGGTGGTGAAATAATAGTATATAGGACAAAATCAAGCATAAGAAGAAGTGTTTTAAAGCCATACATTTGTGTAACAATGAGAAAACTTGGAAAGATATCATATGGCTAAGAAAGAAACTAAAAAAAACTTTTGAAGAATTTTATAAGAGCCTTAATACAAAGGAAGGAAAACAAAACATTTATAAGATTATTAAGAATAGAGAAAGAAAATCAAGAGATCTAGAACAAGTAAAGTGTATAAAGGATAAAGAGGGAAGAATTTTAGTTACAAATGATGAAATTAAAAATAGATGGGACACTTACTTTTTCAAACTTTTCAATGATGGAGAGAGTTCGCCTAATAATTTGAAGGATTTAGTAACTCATGAAGGAGAACAAAATTTGTCATTCTATCGAATAATACGTGATAAGGAGGTAAATGAAGCTCTTAAAAAATAGCAAATCGTAGAGCCAATGGACCTGATTGTATATCTATTGAAGTGTGAAAATGTTTAGGTGAAGAAGGGGTGAGATGGTTAACAAAGTTATTTAATGTGATTTTACGGTCTAAGAAAATGCTTGACGATTGGAGGAGAAGTGCATTAATTCCTATTTATAAAAATAAAGGAAATATTCAAAATTGTATTAACTATAGAGGGATTAAATTTATGAGTTACACAATGAAATTGTGGGAGAAAGTAATTGAGCATAGTTTAAGATTGGAGACAATTATTCCTGAGAATCAGTTTGGTTTTATGCCAAGTAGATTGCTTACAAAGGCGATTTATCTACTAAGGAGATTAATGAAAAAGTATCGTTGTAAAGATAAAGATTTACATAGTTTTTATTGATTTGAAAAATACTTATGACCGTATGTTAAGAGAAGTACTTTAGAAAGCCTTGAAAAAAAAGGGAGTACGGATTGCTTATATTAAAGTTATACAAGATATGTATGAGGGGGTAAAAATGAGTATAAGAACATCTAGCGGTCAAACAAAAAACTTTCCTATAAAAATTGGACTACATTAGGGATCATCTTTGAGTCTTTATCTGGTTAACTTGATTCTAAATGTTTTGAGAGAACATATTTAGGGGAAAATTCTCAAATGTATGCTCTTTGCGAATTATATAATTTTTATAGTAGAAACAAAAGAAGAGATTAATTATAAACTTGAGTTATGGAGGAGGACATTGGAGTCGAAAGGTTTCCATTTGAGTAGGAGTAAGACGGAATATTTATGTTGTAAATTTGGTAAGAGACTAATCGACAGTAATTTGAAAGTGAAATTGGGAAACTAAATTATGCCTCAAGTGGAAAAATTTAGATATTTGGGAGCCATTATTCAAAATAATGACGAAATCAGTGAGGATATTTCACATAAGATTCAAGTTGGGTGGTTTAATTGGAGAAAAGCTAAATGAGTTATTTGCGACCGTAAGATGCTTAATAAACTTAAAAGAAATTTTTATCGTACTGCTATTGGATCAGCTATGTTATATAGTAGTGCATGCTGGGTTCTAACGAGACAGTAAGAGTATAAAGTTGAAGTAGTAGAGATGAGAATGTTACGATGGATGTGCAGACATATATGAAAAGATAAAATTCGAAAAGAGCACGTACGCGAAAAAGTGAGGATAGCACCTGTTGAGAAAAAATGGTAGAAAATCATTTGAGATGGTTTGGACATGTACAAAGAAGACTGTGGGAGGCACCGGTGAGAAGAGTGGAACATATAACTTTGAACCCTGGTAAGAGGGGTAAAGGAACGCTTAAGAGAACACTTTTGAAAGTTGTTAAACACAATCTCTTAATTAATAATATTTTTAAAAACTTGATAAATAATAGAGCACAATGATGTTTTGCAATTCATGTAGTCGATCCCACTTAGTGAGATAAAAGCTTATTGTTGTTGTTGTATAGCATCCCCAACCTTGTATCACTCAATTACACTTCTTCTGCACCTCTCGCCTGAAAACTTAGAACGCTTCAACTCTCGCCTGAAAACTTAGAAGTGTTACTGAGGTCTTCTGCTTTAACCTTATGACAATGATGACTTTGCTATTGGTTAGCCATTTCAAATGTATGCTTAATAGGATGGAAACTGAGGATGCTGCAGAGCATCAAACTGTCTTGAACTCATTGTTTCCTTGGCTTGCTGCAGGGGTATTTTCATACAGACTCTAGTTGATGCCTCTCATGAAAAGCGCACGCTATCTGCCGTGCAAATTATCTTAAATGTTTTTGGCTTCTGTTTAACTGTGGCTGCAGCAGTCTTTTTCACAGTCTATGCTAAGAAGAGACTCAAACAGTTGCAACAGGAGGATGAGGTTTTGCTGCAATAATCCAGTAATTTTTCAAGCTGGGCATCTCTCTTTGCTGCATGAACCATTTACCATCTCACTGGGCTCATGGTGCAAAGATGGGTAAGGATATATATATATATATATATATATTAAATAGCTTCCTCCATTGGAAGGTTGAACGTCAAGTGTGCATACCGGAGGTCACAAAACTAACTTGACTTGGGATTTGGATTCTCTCAATTTCTCAAGATGATTAACGACAGGGTTCATCATTCAAATGGTTCACACACACCGTATGTGTCTTTTCCAAGTTGACACGGTCAATTACTTAAGAAATTAAAACGTTCCAAATCTCTTGACTTGACCAACACCAGCATTCCCCATTTCTTTTTCATGTATCCCACTTCTCAAAAGAAATGTATTACAGTTGCCACTGTATATGAATGAAACCCCCATTTTCTGGCAAGTTCTTGTGTACGTCGTGAATTGACTACATTGTTACTTTCTCTTTGACCAAAAAGAAAGAGCAAGAAAGAACTTCTAACATGGTTCACATCTACTGTAACTTCCTAGTCTGAAAGTCTTTATTTATTATTTGCTTCTACTATAACTTATTATTTACTTATGATCCAATACATGCATTATATTATAATATCCCTTTAGTTGAGCCACTGATTTTCTTCACTTCTATTGTTTTACTGACCGCCTGGAGTTTTCTGATGTCTGCCTTGGCTTCATGTTTAATTAAGCTTCGCGACTGTCTTGTTCTGGTGTAAATTTTGTACTGAAAAATTTGAAGTGCCGAAAATTGAACTGGTTATTGTCTTATTGAATCAGTTAGGGTTAGTGGTTTTTATAATTAAAATAAAGTCCAAATTTGATGGACAATTTATTATTATTATTATTATTTTGCTTTTAAACTCAAAACAATGTCATTGCGCCCTCAGCAAAGAGAGAAAAACATAAAGTTCAACTCGCTTGACCCGACCAAATTTCTAACCGACCCGGTTAAGGGATATGTTCATCAGTCTGACCGACCAACGGCAACCTGATCTGAGTTAAAATGACCAACCTGATTTGAGTTTTAATGCTATGAAAATTGGTAGACACTGGGATACCTTGTGAATTAGGATAAAATGGAGAGACTCGTCATGAATTAGGCTTGGGATGAAATTGTTTGAAGTCCGTGCAGTACAAACACACATAATACCTACGAATAATTAATTCTTATTAAATGGGGAATCACGCAGAATTAGCGTATTAATCAGGGTGCTTCAATCTTTGTTAATAACTTAATATACATGAAAACCTAGAGATATATGTTGTTCATCACCTAATCATACTTTCATTGAGTGGTTCTGACGCGAGGCATCTGAATGATAGTTCAAAATAATTTTAAATTTCATGATGTGTCATTTCACAAAAGACAATATCAATTGTGGGAGTCTCACAATTGAAAAAACATTCAATTTATAAATTCAATCAAATCTTTAAAATATAAATGATTTAACCATTTAAATAAGATTTTAAAAACTTAAATAACGCAATTTTAGTTAATCTAGGATTCTAAATGGATAGATTATATTCTAGTGGATATGTTAAATCCCTTATTTGAATTTAAAATAAAATAAACTAATTTTGCCTAAATTGAAATTTGAATTTAAAATAATATAAACTAATTTTTAAAATTTAAGAAAAATATTAACTAAATTAATTGGATTCATGTATTGGGTCAGGCCTAATATGTTAAGAGTTTTTTTTTTTGGATTTTTTTAGAACTACATTTGTTTTTAGGTTACCTTGATCATATAAAACATTTCTAATTAACGAATTTAGAGCTTTTTTCATCCTCTTAACTTCAAATCTAGTCATTAGTTTTCAAATACTCTATATTAATTTAAAGGTAATAAATGATGAATTATGACTCGTCCTTTGATTCCCATTAGGTTCTTCTTCTTCAAGTATCTCTCTAGCAAGAAATCTTAGATACCTTTTTATAGGTTAAGGTGCAAAAAATTTAAAATTCTTTTTTTTTTAAGTTTTTAGTATCGTTAAGCCAATAATGATACATAAGTATCCATTAATTTCATAAAATATATCAATCTTCTCCAATCTATTAAGTTCTATTCTCAAAACTTGACGGTCAATGTCAAGCTATTTTAATGGATTGATAAAACATGTTGTCCTCTTTTACAAATTAATGGATATTTATGTACTATTATTAATTTAAAGATGTCAAAAGGTTTTGGAGAAATTTTTTTTAGGCATTTTAGCACTTTAACCTTTTTTTTAAAATAGTTTACCCATTATAAGTCTCTTTTCTTCAAAAGGAGGAAAAAAATAAATCTGTGTAAATTTTATTTTCAATTATTAAATTTTGAACTAGTGTGTTTGATTGATTCAAGGGATAAATTCATTAAATGATATTGATGTGACTTATTTTTAAATTAGGCCCAAAATAATTTGAAATAGCGTTGCAAAATTTTAAATTTGAATTGAAATTAAATTGAAAATAAAAATAATTAAAATATCCTCCTTCAATTAAATTGAATAAGACACATAATGGACTTAACATGCAATGATAAATTATTAAAAAGTAATATTACATGTCTAATAAGTTACTTATATTATTTAAAAAATAACTTATAAAAAATGATTTATTACATACTAAATGTTCAACGAGTAACATAGTAGGCTTAACAAGCAATTATAGAAAATTAACAAGTAACATTATACATAAAACAAGTCAAATATTACTTAATAAGTAATTTAAGTATAGGTTAGATGTTGAACAAGTAACGTAATGGACTAAATAAGTAATGATAAGAAATTAAGAAGTAATAGTTGAACATCTAACATGTGATAAATCATTACTTGTCATATAATTAACTTGTTAGCACATAATATTACTTGTTAATCTCTGTCATTACTTGTTAAATTTATTATGTATCTTGTTTAACGTAGAAACTCTCTCTTTCTCTCTCTCTCTCTCTGCGCGCGCGCGTGAGCCCCAGTTATTTGTCGACAAAAACTAATATAAAATGAATTGTTATTAAAATAAATAAATTGTTATTAAAATGGCCACACCACTATAAAAAAAATTTACATATCACCATGTATTAAACTGTTTTATGTAAAACTGTTTTATAAATTAAGGTAGGATTTTAAAAAAACAATTATTAAACAATTTTAGAAAAAATTGTTTTATATTTAAATAAATACTAAATGGCTATTTACAATAACCCTTTAGTATTTGTTGTATTTTCAGGACCTCTAACGTTAACAAATTACTAAACAATTCTATAGAGGAATTATATCCTTTACTAAATAGTTAGTTTTAGAGAACCGTTTTACATGCAATAAATTTTTTTGTTAAAGTAACCATTTAAAATTATATTTTAAAAACTTTTCATCTTCCCTAAAAACATTTAGCTTCGTTGTCTTTGAAATGTTAACCTAGAGCTCTCTCACCTTCCTTTGCCAACAAAACACCCAAACCCACCATTTTTGGCCATTCATTGTCTTCCTCTGCAATAGAAATGCTGTGGGCCTCTCATCAATGTCATCTCCTTTGCTCTATCTCTGTGGATCTCTCAGTTCATGGTTTTTCTCACTGTGCCATAGATTTGTTGAAGGTGGATTTTCCCCCTCGTCATTGGGTTTATACTCTCTCTCTTTATTATCTACCTCACAACTCTTACTAGCTACCCCATGCATTATTTTCTTTTTTTAATTCTAGGGTTTTTGAAGTTCTTGCCCATGTCTTTTCCTGCCCGTTTTGAAGAAGTGAGTTCTTGATATTTTGAGCAATTATTCTTTCTATACCCTTATTCGCTGTGTGACATCTCATATTTTAATCCTTAGCTAATTAGCGAGATAAGCAAGTTTAATTATGTTGAATGGAGTTAGATGATGGCTAGAAAGGGATAAAAAGTGTTACTGGTATGTGGTTGTAACTTGAGGATTAAGTTTGAAGTAAAATTGAGGTAAAAATTCAAGGAGTCCTCTTACTATACCATGCACCACGGCTTGTGTTATGTAGGCTGCAGTGCATTACATAGCGAGAAGTAGTCCTTCTTTGCGCCATCCTCCGCAACTTGTGTTAACATGCATTGTGGCACACGGCCTATTTTCTGTAGAAATAAGTTGAGCATCAACCTAAAAAATGGAGAAAAAGAAAAGAGGAAATGAGAGAGGGAGAAGGAGAAAACTTGGGCTCTGCTAGGGCATAACATTGTGAAGAGCTAGAGAGGGTTTGGAGTTCCCAATCACTAAGGTAAGTCTTTCCCATCTTTCCCCTTCCTCTCTACACTATTTTAAAGTTAGGGTTTATTGTGTAGGGTTGATTTTTAGTCCATATAATTAATGGGTCTGAACCCATTGATTGAAATGAAGTTAATAGGAGTTAGTTGAGGTATTCAAACTGATAATTTATAGTTTTAGACATTAATGGTGATTGTGAGCCATTAATGTCAAAAAATGAGTAATAAATATGGGTTTTGAAGTGGTTGGAAGCCATTAGTGGTGAGTTAAGTGTTTAGTAAAGCTATTGAGAGCTAGAGAGAGTTAATACATCTAATGGATAAGCCTAAATGAGAAATAAAGGCTTTGGGTATTTTAGAAATTGAAGAAAAGAAGTTAAGTGTGTGAAATAATGATGTTGATTGTTGGTTTGATTAATTATAGATTAATCACCTCGTGCACCATTTTGGGCTTGAGTTCAAGCTTGGAAGTATATACTTGAAGGTAAACCTTTGACTTCTCAAAAATTTAAGACAACTGAGAAAAATCTCTTTTATGTTGTTGTTTGTTAATTGGTTTATATTTTCAAAATTGAAAGAATTGACTTGAATGTTTGAATTTGTTATTGTTATGTATGCTAGAAATTATGTGAGGTTTATGCAAACCTAATTTGGTTATAATTGTAAAGTTGAACTTGAAACGCTTTCATATTATAATTTTATGCTGAATTGAGACATTGAAATGATGGTTATGTGATATGGAGAATGTGTTCTATAAGTGACATGATAATTGTGTGTTGCAAAGAAATGTGTTTGAGTTTTGAATGAAAGGACTAATTGTAAAGCTATTAAAGATGCTCACAGGGGTTAGTTTCTTATTGTATCCCACTCTATTAATTGTATCGTCAATTATGAAATGAGTGAGCATTACACATTATATGATCATTTAGCAGAAGTTTGCCTAGGTAGAGGTGTAACATCCTAGAAAATTAAACTCTTAACAATCAAATAAATAATGATAATTAAGTGGGATTTATATGGTGTGTGGTAAAGGAGGACTAATCAGTGTTTTGGTTGTAATTTCAGCTATAAATTTGGACTCGAAATGAAATTGGGTCACTTAGACATCAAAAGTAGAGAAAAACAAGGAGAGAAGCCTTTGTACCATATGCCATGATATGTGTGTGGTGTGCCACGAGGCCTAAAGGAGAGAAGCCTTTGTACCACACACCGTGGGGCACATGACTTTTTTTTTTGTGCAAAAATACTTCAGGAATAGACTCAAAAATTAGAAGAGAAAGAAGGAGAAAAC